GTTGGAAGAGACCAGAAGGGTCATCTAAGTCAGGGGTCTCCAACCTTAGACTCATAGACTTCAACTGCCAGAATTGCTCAGCCAGCTTTGCTGGCTGGGGAATTCTGGGAGTTGAAGTCCACAAGTCTTAAAGTGGCCCAGGTTTTGAGACCTCTGCTTTATACAAATAACTCCAGGAGGCAAGCTTATCCAGCACAACTTTCTCTTCCAGTTTCCCCCACAACAACAGTTCTGTGACGGGGGCTGGGCAGAGAGAAAGGGAGTGGCCCACGGTCACCCAGCCGGCTTTCCTAGCTAAGGCAGGTCTTGAACTCGTGTCTTCTTGCTTTCTAGACAGTAACTTGACAACAACCAGGACAGGCCCCCAAACTTCAGTATAACAGCGTTGGAAGGGACCTTAGAGGTCTTCTAGTCCAACCCCCTGCTCAAATAGGAGACCTTGTACCACTCTAGACAAATAGCCATCCTGTCTTTTCTTATGAACCTCCAGCGATGGAGCAGCCACAATTTCTGGAGGCCAGTTGTTCCATCGGTTAATTCTTCTCCCTGCTAGGAAGTTCTCCTGAGTTCCAGGATGCCTCTCTCCTTGATGACTTTCCACCCGTTGCTTCCTGTCTTCTGGGAGGAAGGGGGCTTGGGTGAGGGGTTGGACTAGATGACCTACAAGGTCCCTTCCAACTCTGTTAATCTAACCTGAACTGATTGACCCCCTCCTCTTTGTGGCAGCCCCTCAAATACTGGAAGAGTGATATTGTGCCGACAGAGAGAGGGGGAGGGAGAGGGAGGGAGGGAGGGGGAGAGAGGTGGGAAGAGGAGGGGAGAGAGGGAGGGAGAAGGAGGGAGGGAGAGAGGGAGGGAAGGGGAGGGGGAGAGGGAGGGAGAGGAAGGGAGGGAAGGGGAGGGGGAGAGGGAGGGAGAGGGAGGGACTAAGGGGAGGGGGAGGGAGGGAGAGGGAGGGAGGGAGAGAGACGGAAGGAGAGGGAGGGAGGGAGAGAGAGGGGGAAGGAAGGGGAGGGGGAGAGGGAGGGAGGGAGAGGGAGGAAGGGAGAGAGAGAGGGAGAGGTGGCTGAATTCCCCCCGTCTGCAGCCCAGGGCCCCCCAAGCTGCCCTCCCCAGTCCTCCCCGTTCTCAGGGGGGATCCTGGTGTCCCCTCTTCTCCCCAGGCAGGCGGCTCCTCCCTCCCTGAGGCCTCCTGGGGTCCTTCGGCCTGCTGGACGGTGTCCTTCCCTTCCCGCAGACGTCCCAGGGAGTCCCGGTGCGACGTTTCAAGACGCTGAGCGAGCTGATTGCCCTCTACCTGCAGCCAAACCAGGGCCTGGCCTGCACTCTGCTCTTCCCTGTGGAACGGGAGAAGGAGAAAGAGAACGCGGAGGAGAGGGACTATTCCGGTACCAATCAGACCCTCCCCTCCCTCCCTCCTTTTCCCTTCCTTCTCTCCCTCACACCCTTCCATTTCTTTCTTCCTTTCCCATCTCTTCCCTTCCCCTCCTTCCTTCCTTCCTTCCTTCCTTCCTTCCTTCCTTCCTTCCTTCCTTCCTTCCTTCCTTCCTTCCTTCCTTCCTTCCTTCCTTCCTCCTTTCTTCTTCCCTCCCTCCCTCCTTTTTTCCTTCTTTCCTCTTTCCCTCCATCCCTTTCTTTCTTTTCTTCCTTTCCTTTCCCGTCCCTTCCTCCCTCTCTTCCTCCTTTTTACTTCCTTCCCTCCCTCACACCCTTCCATTCCTTTCTTCCTTCTCTTCTTCCCATCTCTTCTCTTCCCATCTCTTCTTCTCTTCTCTTCTCTTCCCTTCCCTTCTCTTCTCTTCTCTTCTCTTCTCTTCTCTTCTCTTCTCTTCTCTTCTCTTCTCTTCTCTCCTCTCCCCTCCCCTCCCCTCCCCTCCCCTCCTCTCCTCTCCTCTCCTCTCTTATGTTCTCTTCTTCCTTCCTTCTTTTCTCCCTCCCTCCCTCCCTCCTTCCCTCCCTCCCTCCCATCCATTCCTTTCTTTTCTTCCTTTCCTTTCTTGTCCCTTCCCCTCCTTCCCTCCCTCCTTTCTTTCCTTCTATTACTTTTTTCCTTCATACCTTTCCTTTCCCTTCCCTCCTTCATTCCTCCCTTCCCCTCCCTTCCTCTTCCTGCCGCTGTTCCTGGTTGTTCTGGGGAGGCCACATGGCAGCTGATTTTCTCTCTCGCAGACGGGGAGGACGAGAAGCCCCCCTTGCCCCCTCGCTCGGGCTCCACCAGCATTCCTGGGGGCAGCAGCCCCTCCCTCCTGGCGACAACCCCCCCCGCCGCGCCGGGCCGAGCCCCGGAAAGGTAAGGCGGGAACCCCGGGCGGGGGAAAAACAGGGCCCCCCCCCCCCAGCCCCCCACCTCAACCCACAGATGCACCCCTCCCCCACCCTCTGGGCTAAGACCCACCGACCTCCAGGCTTCCCTTTTTGGGGGGAGGAAAAAGGCAGGATTTATTCACTGGAAAAGTACACAACTTGATGCACTAGCAACTTGGTACAGGTAGATCTGCTTTTATTTCTTTATGGATTTATCAGTTGAATTGATGCCTAAAAAAAAAAGGAAATGCCCAAAAGAATAGAACCATCACAGCAAAACACAGAACAAGATTTACAAGCACTATAAAACGGAACCCTGTAAAATAAAAATAAAAAATTAAAGCAACGTTCGGTGTTTCACCCAAAAGTCTCCTGCAGAAATCTGAGGCTTCGAAACCAGAATTAAGATCAAATCAATATTTGGTGTTAGCACGGATGACGTTAGCTAGTTTGGTAATGAGACGTCTGCAAGGAAACCCACCAAGGGCTTGGCTTCTTGTAAGGTCACTGCAAGAAATACTGGTGGCCCAGCACCTGAATTTTGGTCTTGTGACCCTGGAGATGCTGCAGGGGTTGTAAGTGCGAGGACCGGTTGTAAGTCTCTTTTTTTCCACCCCTGTGCAGCCAGTAGCAGAATCAAACAGTGAGGAAGGACAGGGACCAGTCCGGGAGTCGAGAGGATTCGGACGAGGGTCCTGCGTTCGATGCAGGGATGGGGCCAGGACTATCTGGGAGTGGGGGTGCTGCCTTCAGAGCCTTTGGAGTCTGGCAGCAGCAGAGAGGAAGAGGACCCAGGGGAGCCTGTTCCCAGTGTGTGTATGCACAGAGCTGCCAGAAGGCAAGAGCAGCTGAGACAAAAGGGGCGACTCAGGAGTAAGGCTGGGAGGTGACGGCCCCTCCCATAAGGGATAAAAGTCAAACCTCGATGACGAAACCTTTTGCAGGAAGTAAAGCAGTTCAATTAGATTCCGAGTCCTTCTTGAAGCTCTGCGTACTCTGGTGGGTTTTTTCTGGTACTTCGGGTGGGTTCTGTTATAATTCCTTTGGAGACTTCTGTTTTTGGCAACATTCCCCAGCACTGGCAAGCATGGGCTAATTGTTGTGGTTCGCCGGCAGCGGGTGCGGACGGCTGAGGCCTCGGAGAGCGAGGACTCGGATGAGGGGCCTGTGTGGGATGCAGGGATAGGGCCAGGACCATCAGGAAGTGGAGTGCGGCCTTTGGAGCTTGTGGGGGCTGGCAGCAGTGAGGAAGAGGCCCCCGAGGAGCCTGGGCCGTGCATGTGCACAGAAGGAAAGAGCAGCTGCAGCAGCACGGGCGACGCGGGAGTAAGGCTGCAAGATAATGGCCCCTCCCTTTAGAGGTAAAAGCCAGCTGAGAACCCGGAGTTCTTTGCAGGAAGCAAAGAAGTTTTTGCACTCAAGCCTTGTGGACGTTCGGAGTATCTGAGTTGGTGTTTGGAGACTCTTTGATTTATTGTTTAGTAACTTTATCTGGTGTTCTTGGCAGCCTTGCAAAAACTTGTCCAGGCTCTTTCTTATCGGAGCTAATTAGTTGGAAGCAGCCTTTGATCTGTGAAGGAAGCGGGTTCGTAAATGAAACATTAAAAGGTTGTGCTGTTACCTTTGTCTTGTGTTTGCTCTCTTGGAATCAGTATAGGTCAGATCACTTATCTTGGGGAACTGTGTATAATTAGTTCTGGCTGGAAATGAAAGTAATTTATTTTATTTTTATTTTTATTTATTTATTTTATTTTGTCAAGCGATTATTAGATAACAGGTATAAGTATATACATAGTTATGAATATATGAAATGGGTACATATAAGAAGAATAAAAGAAACAATAGGACAGGGACGGTAGGCGCATAGGTGCGCTTATGCACGCCCCCTACAGACCTCTTAGGAAAGGGGTGAGGTCAAGAATAGACAGTCAAAGGTTAAAGTTTTTGGGGTTTCCTAGCGTTGCATTAAAAAGGTTTTGCTTTTCAAACAAGTTTGTGTTTCAATCAAGTATTTTGTTTATTACCATATTTTCGGAAGGTACATCATCTATTTTCCAGCTTTGGGCATAAGCAATTCTTGCCGCTGTTAATATGTGTTGTACGATGTATTGGATATGTTTCTTCAGGTTTCCTTTGATCATCCCCAATAAGAAAGTTTCTGGCTTAAATTCAATACCGTACCCTGTAATTTCTCTTATCCATTTCTTCCATTTTTCCCAGTAATTTTTTTAACTGTGGGGCATTGCCACCACGTATGATAGTATGTCCCGTCCGTGAGCTTACATTTCCAACATTGCAGTTTCATATTCGGGTATATTTTGGCCAATCTTGCCAGTGTCAAGTGCCTCCAGTGGGTGTTTCAGTACGTTTGACGAAGCCTGGGTCAGAACAGTGATGCGTTGAAACACGGGCTCATTTCTTTTTTTCCTTGTCTCTCAGCCCCACCAATGGACTCAGCACCATTTCCCACGAATACCTGAAAGGCAGCTACTCCCTGGACCTGGAGGCGGTGAAGGGAGGGGCCAGCAACCTGCCCCACCTCAACAAAACCCTCGTCACATCCTGCCGGCGCCTGCACAGGTGAGGCCATCCGCACGAGCCTACGATTGTGGGCCGAGCAGGGACAAAAAGAGCTCGAGAAGTGGGCGGAGCCTGGGAAACGGGCCCTCTGTCGGTTGATAGGAATGCTGGTTTAATACCGGTCTGTCAGGTACAGGCAGTCCTCGAGTTACGACAGACAAATCCGCCCAAAATGTATGTTACTGAGTGAAGAATTTGTGAAGTGAGTTTTGCCCCATTTTACGACTTTTCTGGCCACCGTTGTGAAGTGAATCATTGCATTTGTTAAGCGAGTCACCCGGTTGTTAAGTGAATCTGGATTCCCCCTTGACTCTGCTCATCAGAAGGTCGCAAAAGGGGATCTCGTGACGCCAAGGGGACACTACAGCCGTCATAAATACGAACCAGTTGCCAAGCGTCCGAATTTTGATTATACGACCGTGGGGGATGCTGTAACGGTCGTAAGGGTGATATGTGACTTTTTTTTTTCCGTGCCTTTGTAACTTGGAATGGTCACTAAATGAACTGTTATAAGTCGAGGAGTATAAAAGGTGCCTTTTTTTTCCCCCAAGAGGCAACTGGACCTACCTTGGTTTTTCTTTTGAAGACATTTCGCCTCTCATCCAAGAAGCTTCTTCAGCTCTCAGCTCTCTCTCTGGCTGGGGAATTCTGGGAGTTGAAGTCCTCCAGGCTGAAAGGGGCCAAGGGTGGAGACCCCCGCTAGAAGAGAACAAACTTGCTCACGGCACATGGTGGATCCCTGAGTCCAAGAACGGGGCTTCTCTGTGTCGATTCACTTCAGCAATCTTGAGCTTTTCGCATCCAGCCCAAAATAATTCCCTTTGGGCTAGACGAATTCCCATTTCTAAGGCTACGCTGGAATTTGCTTACGTGGCACAATGGGCCGAGCAGTATATTTTAATACCGTCTTGCATTATTTTTTTCCCCTTTGGCATGTCTCCCTGTTAGAAATCCGGGGTGTAAGATTTCAGAGCAATTATCTCAGTGGTGGGAGAGGAAATTACAGGGTGTCTCGTCCTTCTGACCATCGTCGGCCTTCGCAGGAGAGACCAGCCAGGGTCTCGATAGACACAGATGAAGGGTTTCCTCTTTAGGAAAGGGCCTTCAAAGTTGGAGACTTTAAGACAGGGGTGTCCAACCTTGGCCACTTTAAGACTTGTGGACTTCAACTCCCAGAATTCCTCAGCCAGCAAAGCTGGCTGAGGAATTCTGGGAATTGAAGTCCACAAGTCTTAAAGTGGCCAAGGTTGGACACCCCTGCTTTAAGACAAGGACCTTCAAACATGGCAAGTTTAAAACTGGTGAACTTCAACTCCCAGAATTCCTGAGCTACCATGACTGGAGGAGGAATTCTGGGAGTTGAAGTCCACAAGTCTTAAAGCTATCAAGTTTGAAGACACACACACACACACACACACACACACACGGCTTTAAGACTTGGGAACTTCAACTTGAACTTACCTTTTTAATTTGAAGGCTTGTGAACTTCAACAGAGCTGACAGGCCCTCCTTCAAGCAGGTCCACCTGGTGGGACCGAGAAGAAGGGCCTCCTCCATGGTGGCTCCCTTCCTGTTATTTGAAGGACCGTCTTTTCTCAGTCATATCTACCCATCTCACCTGTTGGGGTTCGCCGGCAGCAGGTGCGGACGGCTGAGGTCTGGGAGAGCGAGGACTCGGATGAGGGGCCTGCGTGGGATGCAGGGATGGGGCCAGGACCATCAGGGAGTGGAGTGCGGCCTTCGGAGCTTGTGGAGGCTGGCAGCAGTGAGGAAGAGTCCCCTGAGGAGCCTGTGTCCAGCGCACATGCACACAGGGCTGCTCGAAGGAAAGAGCAGCTGCAGCAGCATGAGAAACTCGGGAGTAAGGCTGCAAGATAATGGCCCCTCCCTTAAGAGATAAAAGCCAGCTGAGAAACCCGAGTTCTTTGCAGGAAGCAAAGAAGTTTTCCCACTCAACCTTGTGGACGTTCGGAGTAGCTTTGTTGGTGTTTGGAGACTCTTTGTGTTTGAAATATTTCTTACTAACTTTATCTCGTGTTCTTGGCAGCCTTGCACCACCTTGGCAAGGCTCCTTCTTATCGGAGACAGTTAGTTGGAAACAGCCTTTTAACCGGGAAGGAACAGAATTCTCAGAAAAGCACTAAAAGGTTTTGCTTTTATCTCTGTCTGATGTTGTTTACTTGGAACAAAGTTTGGGTCACAACACCACCAGAGAGAGGAGACAGGAGATGTTAGGGGTCTCTTCTCTTAGGGAGGTCCATCTGGTGGGACCAAGAAGAAGGGCCTTCTCCGTAGTGGCTCCCTCCCCGTGGAACATCATCCCTGCAGGGAATAAGAAGACTGGCCCCCACCTTCACCCTCCAATGGGCATAGAGGTCCTTCGGAGGGATACGGAGCCCATCTAGGGGGTTGGCTTGATGGTTGCCGCCAGAAGGGTGGGGACTATGGGTTTTGTGTTCGGGGTTTTACTCCTATAAGCCACCCGGAGTCACCCTAAGTGAGTTGGGCGGCCATATACATATTCTAGGGACGCGGCGGCTCAGGGGACTGAGACGCTGAGCTTGTTGATCAGAAAGGTTGGCAGTTCGGCGGTTCGAATCCCCAGCGCCGCATCACGGAGTGAGCCCCCGTTGCTGGTCCCAGCAGCTTCTGCCAACCTAGCAGTTCGAAAGCACGTAAAGAAAATGAAAGTAGAAAAATAGGGATCCCTTTGGTGGGAAGGGAACGGCGTTCTGTGCGCCTTCGAAGGCGTTTAGTCCTGCCGGCCACATGACCACGGAGACGTCTGGCGCTGGCTCTTCTTTGGCTTTGTAATGGGGATGAGCAGCGCCCCCTAGAGCCGGAAACCACTAGCATGGATGTGCAAGGGGAACCTTTATTTACCTTATGCATATTCTAAAGAAACTTTTCTGCAAAGAGTCCTGGCTCGGGACCCAGTTTGGGGGTCTGCATTCAACAGGAGGCTGACTCCTCTGTGTCTTCTTCTCTTTCCAGCGAGGTGGACAAAGTCTTAGCAGGCCTGGAGATCTTGTCCAAGGTGTTTGACCAGCAGAGCTCCCCAATGGTGTCTCGCATCCTGCAGCAGGTAAGGGGTCTCAAAGAAGGGAGAATTTTTTCCAGGTCTGGGTCCATGCATGGCCGTTCTTCAACTGAGGGGTCTGGGGTATTGACAGCCTTCCCTTTGCTCTGGTCCTTGTTTCCTGGAGGTCTCTTGGCCCCAACGTTCCTTCCCTCTTGAAGGGAGGGTGGAGAAACAATTGTGTTGTGTGGAGGTTGTAGGCCAAGGTTGTTGGCCAGCTTTAAGGCTTGTGGACTTCAACTCCCAGAATTCCCCAGCCAGGGAATTCTAGGAGTTGAAGTCCACACGTCTTAAAGTGGCCAAGGTTGACAAACATGGATGTAGGCCAGGGATCCCCAAACTTGGCAAGTTTAAGACTTGTGGACCAACTCCCAGAATTCTGGGAGCTGAAGTCCACAAGTCTTAAAGTGGCCAAGTTTGGAGACCTCTGCTAGAGATCAAAGATCTTCAATCTTGGCAGGTTTAAGGCTTGTGGACTTGGACTCCCAGAATTCCTGAGCTAACAAGACTGGAGGAAGAATTCTGGGAGTTGAAGTCCACAAGTCTTAAAAGTGGCCAAGTTTGGAGACCTCTGGTGTAAGCCAAGAAGCAACAGAAGAGCTGGCCTTCTGGAGGTATGGACGCTCCATCTCTGGAAGTTTCGCTTGAAGTTCAGCCAGATGTTTCTATGGGGGTGATCTGAGGATCCTTGCCTTACCAAGGGGGTAGATTAGAAGACCACCAACGGATCTTCCATCCCTGGATTCTGGGATTCCATGAGATGCCTTCATAGGCGACCCTGCCCAAATAGGTCTTCAGAATGTAGCTTTATCTGGAGATGGATTTGGGTCGAGTCTACCTGGTGGAAGGGAAGAGGTGAAGAGCGGGTTTTTCATAAGCAGTGTCAGGATTATTTGAAGTCTTCTACTACCAGGGTTGAGTCCTTAGTATTTTTTTTTGTGTTTATTCCATTGTTGGTTGGTGGAAAGGCTACAGGAACCATCAACTAATGAGATGGAGGCTGTTTTTTTTTTTAATTATTGTGGTCTCCCCACCCCACAAATGAAAGTGACAAAGAACCCGTATGGGTTGGGGTCAGTCACCTTGATTCCCTCCATGTCCCTCCAGCAGACAATCCTGGGCAGGAGTCACTTTCCTTGGTTGGACAATAAAATCCCCTGTTATTCCGCCATTCCTCTCAGCTGTCGTTGGTGAGGACCTGGAATATTTGGGCCCAGTTGGATTCTGGCACCCTTGGACTATCTAGGGGCCCCTAAGCCTCCATCTTAAACCTTCGGTTGTTCAAAACTCCCATCTTGTTTACTTCCAGACTGCCGGGCAGACAGGAGAGGGGCAGGAGTTGGACAGTTTGGTCCTGAAGCTGTCCATCTTGAAGGACTTCCTCTCCAATATTGAGAAGAAGGTAAGTCTTCTTCTAGCCTGATCTATCTTTGGCTGAGGAGCATCCAAGGGTCTCTTCAGGAAGCTTTCCTGGCCCCCAAACTATGCTGTCGACCAAGGAGCCCAGGAGGACCCGCTCCCCAAGGGCTTCAGAACTTTTCTCTCGTCCGGGGGTCAGCAACATGCTCTCAGGGCTCCAGCAGTGACCCCCATTTGGATCATGAGTCTCGAGCCAAACTTCCAAAACTTCAAAAGGATTTATTGGGAGTTAACATGTCCGGCACTGCCTGGGTGTAGCCGACTCCGAGACACATCATTCATTGTCACCCTTGACCCTGGTTTTCCCCCCTGCACCCCCTGGATGTATCCTAATCCATATCCTCCAATGGGACCCATCCATAGCCCAGAGTCATCCATCAGGCTCTCCAGTTAGAATTTTGCGGGGCAGAAACTTCGGTCACCTAGTTACTATCTTCGAAAACATTTATGGAATACAGTTTCAATTTGCAAGCTGCTGCACTGCTCCTGCCTCCCTTTCTGTTGGCAACTCTAAAAGACTAGAGAAATATTTTATGAGTTGACACCCACAGCTCTGGCGCCACGTGTGGCTCTTTCACCCCTCTGCTGCGACTCCCTGATGCTCAAAATATGTGTCACAACCACCAATGTGTGTGACACCTGCCGGTACGCCATTTATTGAGCTTTACGACCTCCAGTAGGCCAACCATGGATAGATCCAAGAAAAGAAAAGTTTCAGAAGAAAACAGAACATTTAATTCAACTACACGGGCTAGTTTTGTGGCCGCTCAGGAAATAGTCAGGCAATGGGAAGGGTTTTTGTGGCTCCTGGTGTTTTCTTTTCTGTGTGGAATGGCTTGAAACGGCTCTTTGAGTGTTTCAAGTTGCCGACCCCTGCTCTGGTTGGTACCATCCATGGAGCTTAAATTCCCTAATATAGGTAGTCCTGTATTTGTTTAGTGTCCCTTTGAAACAACAACGAAACTGAACATAGTGACTTATGACCAGGGGTGAGATTCATTTTTTTTAACAACCGGTTCTATGGGCGTGGCTTAAGTGGTGGGCGTGGCTTGGTGGTCATGTGACTGGGTGAACATGGCTTGGTGGTCATGTGACTGGCTGGGCGTGGCCAACTCAACATCACTCACATTGAGGCACGCATCTCCTCGCCTGGCCTCTCGTGACCGTGGGGATGCTGCAACAGTCGTAAGGGTGAAAAAGGGTCATAAGTCACTTTTTTCAGTGCCATTGTAACTTTGGTCACTCCACACAAGCAAAGTACCAGCAAAGGAGGGGGAAAAAACTCCAGAGAAGTTCCTGAGACAGGAAGTCTAGTCCTGCCAAGAACGTAATAAGGGTTAACGGAGAGGCAGTTTCTGTAAGCAACACCAGAATGTTTCCTTCCTGCCTTCCTTACAGGATTAGCCCTGTAATTTCTTCTAACAACCGGTTCTCTGAACTGCTTAGAAGGTTAACAACCGGTTCTAGCGAATAGGTGCGAACCAGTAGAATCCCACCCCTGCTTATGACCGTTTTTCACACAACCTACAGTCACGCAAGAAAAATTTGGTTTGTGGCAAGTGCCATATGTTTATCAGAGTTGCAGAGTCCCAAGGTCACCTAGGCCCCTCTTGTGACCTTCCCAGCTGGCTTCTGACAACCAAAATCAACGGGAGAGGTTGGGTTCCCTCAATGACCACAAGATTCACTTTACCTGCAGTGATTCACTTAACAGCCATGGCCCAAAAAATGGTTTTAAAATTGAGTGCAAGTCGCTTAACAACCGTCTTGCTTTAACAAGAGAAATTATGGTCGTAGGTCCAGGAATACCTGTTTGTAAGGGAAAGTTTTGTGTTGTTTTAACCCGAGCAGTTAGACCAGTGATGGCTAACCTTTTCGGCATGCGCATTTCCAAAATGCAATGTGTGCATGTCACCTGCGCATGCACCCCGCCCCCATGCACATGCCCCGCCCCCATGCACATTCATGCACATCCCATTGCATGTGCCCTGTGCATGCGCCCAGCCCTCCTGTGCATGCATGGCAGAGACCTGAAGACCAGCTGACCAGCGGGAGGCATGTACACATGCATGGCGGAGCTGAGCTGGGGCGAGAGCTCGCATGCCCACAGAGATGGCTCTGCATGCCACCTCTGGCACGCCTGCCCTAGGTTCGCCATCACGGAGTTAGGCTACCGTGTGCCCAATTGGGGTGCTTTCTACAAATTTGAGTCACAAGTCCATCCTCCACAGCCAGCTTCGGGTGGGTACCGAATTGGGAAAGGCCAAATAGATTTCCAAGGACCAAACAATGGTGGGCAGGAGAATTAGGCTGCTAAATGGCCGCTGAAAGGAGCCGGTGGACATTTGGAAAGAGGGCGGGAACTCCAATCTCTGGAATTCCTTGGAAAAGAATTAGGAGGGGAGGGAAGAGGAGGCCGAACACTGTGAGGTACCGATGAATAGAGGGAGCGACTGTTCTGACCCAAAACTTGTTCCAAGGAAAGCAACACCAAACGGAGGTAACAGCAAAACCTTTTAACGTTTCTTTTCAAATCCTGTTCCTTCCCGGTTAAAAGGCTGTTTCCAACTAATTGTCTCAGATAAGAACGAGCCTTGCCAAGGTGGTGAAAAGCTGCCAAGAATGCTAGATAAAGCTGCTAAGAAATATTTCAAACACAAAGAGTCTCCAAACACCAACCAAGATACTCTGAACGTCCACAAGGCTTTAGTGCACAAACTTCTTTGCTTCCTGCAAAGAACTCCGGGTTCTCAGCTGGCTTTTATCTCTTCAGGGAGGGGGCCTTTACCTTGCAGCCTTACTCCCGAGTCGCCCATGCTGCTGCAGCTGCTCTTTCCTTTGAGCAGCCCTGCGTACACCTGCACTGAGCACAGGCTCCTCGGGGACCTCTTCATCGCTGCTGCCAGCCCGCACAGTCTCCGAAGGCCGCACTCCACTCCCTGGTGGTCCTGGCCCCGTCCCTGCATCACCCACAGGCCCCTCATCCGAGTCTTCGCTCTCCGAGTCCTCAGCCGTTCGCACCTGCTGCTGGCGAACCCCAACAGCCAGGGGATGGATTGAGGAGGCTGGTGTAAAGGCCCCGTGTTGTATCTCTTGCAGGCCCTCAAAGCTCTCCAGGACATGAGCTCCACCGCCCAGCCTGGACAGGCTCAGCCATCTTTTCGCAAAGTGAAGAGCATCCCCGTTCAAACATTCGAGGTAAGAGATGAGGACTGTAACAACAATGTGAATCTGTTTTCTTTTTTTTTTAAACCCTGAAGCCTGTAAAATACGGATCAATATTTAAACATGTCTTCCTGAGGAAATCCAGAGGCTGGATTAGATTGGATTAGAATGGAATGGGATGGAATGGGATGGAATGGAGTGGAATACTTTATTTGATCAAGTGGTTGTGATTAGGCACACCAGGAATTTGTCTCCAATGCAGAAGCTCTCAGTGTATGTGCAAAGCAACAAAATAGTGATAATCATAATCTTAATATCAATAAGAGACATGTGACAGCCAGATGTTATCTGGATGGAAATTGAGCTTCCTTTTATGGAGCCTTGGATAGATCAGGGGTCGCCCACCTTTTGGACCTCAGGGACCACCAAACTCTTCATTTTAAATCCCGCGGACCAGAGACCCTGGGAAAATCCCCCAAAAAGTCTTCAGGAAAATCCCCCACCCTGTTTTCCTATCGATCGATTGATCTTGGGATGGCAGGATACCGTCTCCAGCTCCGTTCTCAGGGGAGAGAGGGGAGAGAGAGACTTTTGGCTTCATGCAAGGAAAGCAGCAGAAGCTGCAGAAGTCTTTCTTTCTCTCCCCCAAACTCCACCACAAATGAGTCTTTGCCGGCAGAGCCTCTTGGAGCAGGAGGCCTTGCAGGGTCCCAAAGACTCACTTCTGGCGGAGTTTGGGGGAGAGGAAGAAAGACTTCTGCTGCTTTCCTTGTGTACAGCGAGAAGCAGAAGAAGGAAGAAGCGGAAAGAAGCAGCCCAGTGGCCAAGCCAGGTGTGTGGGGCAAGTGGGGCGAGTTCCCCCTCTCCGCCCTTTCCACCCTCCCCTCACTACCTCGTGTTGTTTGCAATACAAGCGACGCAAGCCTTGTGTTCCCCAGGGCCATGTAGGTGGTGCAGCCTTGTGTTCCTGCACAGCCTGGATTAATTGCTTTAGGGGGGACATTTCTCTGCAGACCACCAAAATTTTCTCGTGGACCACCAGTGGCCCCCGGCCCACTGGTTGGCGACCACACTGAGATAGATGGTAAGGTTAAATATCTGTGGAGATTCTCAGTCATCCAGGCCATGTGTCCAAAAGTTGGGGGCTGCTGGTCTCTTCCTTCATAGACCTACCCTTGCCTTGTGGTCCTCTGTCCCACCAAACACGTACAACCTTGTGTATCAGAAAAGTGTCTCACACCCATGCCTGCTTTCAGGTGAAGCTGGACCTGACCTTGGGCGACCTGACCAAAATCGGGAAGTCACAAAAGTACACCTTAAGTGTGGACGTGGAAGGGGGCAAGTTGGTGGTCTTAAAGAAGCAGAAGGACTCCCAGGAGGACTGGAACACCTTCACCCACGAGAGGAGTAAGTCTCCCACCCACTTCGGTCTGTGAACTTGAGCTGTCCTTCAGCGCAGGGGTCTCCAACCTTTGCCCCTTTGAGCCTGACAGACTTCAACTCCCAGAATTCCCCAGCCAGCTTTCTCCTCCTCTTCCTCTTCTTCCTCCTCCTCC